TCACTACAAAAATGGAAGGTTAAAAAGAAAATGCATCTTTAAGGAACTCCAGCAAAGAATTCATTCAGGCCCTAAGCAAGAGTTAATATACCACCTTGTTAGTTAAAAAACACACATAGAACAAAATCTGGATATACATTAAAATTTTAAAAATGGGTCTAATGCTCTCAGATGCCCCCACAGTTCTTCTGGGAATACTCTCAGAGATCCCTGCAGGTTCTTGAATCGTATCTGGAGAAAAGAGCCGCTGAATATTATCAATTCTCCTTTAAAGAGAGTTTGTAAGGGGGATTGTGTATTAACAGACAACTTATCAAAAGTATTTCAGAACATGAGTGTAGATAATGGGACCTCTTGTTCTGGATCCCCAAGGCTATCAGTGTTCTTCTCAAGGTTACATTTAGAAGGCGGAGGAAATGCCCTCCCAGCAGCCGGGCTGTGGTTAGCACAGGCAGGGGTGAGACTCACCTCTTGCTTCCACAGTTAATTAATTCTCTGTTAATTCAGAGAGCAGGAAAAAAGAATAGAACAGGAGGAGGCTATTTCTTGCATTCTAATTTTTAATTAAAAATAACAATAATAACAACAGTGGCAAGAAAGAAACAAATAGTACTTAGAGGCTGATGTTGAAATTTCAATTCGTGGCTCTCCTAAGTTTAATTACAAGGGCACATGCAGCCATGTAACCAAAATGACTTCATCTGTGATGTGAAAACACTTAGGCCATGATGTAGTTCATTTTCCATAATTGCTGTCTTTTCTCATGTTGTTAATAGTCCCAGAAACCAGATTTAAGTGGGGCGTGAAGTGAATTTGTATATAGTGATTCAAATGCAAACTCTGTTTATGGAGCTTCTCATTGAAACTATACGTGCCTGAACATCCTTCTCATGTTTATAAATCGTGATAGAGTCGAGTCTTCATGAGTCTGGTTTTTCACTCCAGCAAAGGGTCATGCGGTGACTACTATGTGCAAAAAATTGTGAGGAGCTTCTGAATCATTCCTGATATAGTCATTTTACAATGTGAATGATTTCCCCAAGGCTTCGAAGTTTGATCTTTTCTTTCTTTTTCTTTTTCTTTTTTTTTTCCTGAGACAGAGTATTACTCTGTTGCCCTTGGTAGACTTCCCTGGTGTCATAGCTCACAGCAACCTTAAACTCCTGGGCTCAAGTGATCCTCCTGCCTCAGCCTCCCAAGTAGCTGGGACTACAGACAGCTGTGACAATGCCCAGGTAATTTTTCCCTTTTTAGTAGAGAAGAGGGTCTCAATCTTGTTCAGGGTGGACTCAAACTCCTGAGCTCAAGGGATCCTTCTCTGCCTCTCCGAGTGCTAGGCTTATTGGCATGAGTCACTGTACTTGGCCCCAAATTTTGACTTTTTAAAATATAAGTTTACTGGAAAAGTGACATTAAAATTACAACAGTGGCCCGGTGCTGTAGCTTACACCAATCCCAGCACTTTGAAAAGCTGAGGCAGGAGGATCACTTGAGGCCAGAAATTTGACACCAGCCTGGGCAACACAGCAAGACTTGCCTCTACAAAAAAAAAAAAAAAAATTAATAAATTAAAAATTAATTTCCAAGCATGCTGGTACATGAGTATAGTCCCAGCTACTAAAAAGGATGAATTGAGAAGATCACCTGAGCCCTGGAGTTTGAGGCTGCAGTGAGCTATGATCAGGCCTCTGCATTCCAACGTAGACCACAGTACAAGAGCTCATCTCTTTAAAAATAAATAAATAAATACATTACAGCAGAAATTCAAAACAAAAACTTGCTACAATCCCAGCATCTGATTAAGTTTCCCCTGTAACCTCCTAGTGGTTATCCATTCCCATATACAGATATACATATTTGCAATAATAACACAGGTGAGCGTTTGTATTCTAAATTTTTACTTACCTTCATTCAATGCTTTTCCCCTCATTTTCTTTTTTGTGTTGGTTTTTTTGCCTCCCCTTATCTTTCCCAGCCCCACCGTTTCCTTCCAGCCTGAGATGCAGCCTCCACACCTTTACTGTGCTCAGATGGATACGTGGGGGGGGAGGGGGGAGTTGCTTGATTACCCCTTTTAAAATACTATAATCATGCATATAATATTTATTCCTCTGCTATTGGCCTCCCTAACTTAACACTGCACCATGAAACTCTCCAGGTCAACAGCTAGCTGGTCAGCTAACTCGCCCTTGTAGATTTCTGTGTAATATTCCTTGTGCAGGTGTATCATGGTTGATGTGATCATTTCCTTGTTGATGGACCTTCAGATTGTTTCAAGGTTTTTGCCACTGCAAACAATAAACATAAAAATGTACATACAACATTGCAGTCTGTGCTTTTGTTTGTGTGGAATAACTTCGTACATGCTGGAGCAAAGCCTGTGTGTAACATAAATTTTACCAAACCTGGCTGGGCACAGCAGCTCATGCCTGTAATCCTAGCACTCTGGGAAGCTGAGGTGAGTAGATAGCTTAAGATCAGGAGTTGGAGACCAGCCTGAGCAAGAGTGAGGCTGGTCTCTACTAAAAATAGAAAACTATCCAGGCATTGTGGCATGCACTTGTAGTCCCAGCTACTTGGGAGGCCGAGGCAGGAGAATTGTTTGAGCCCAGGAGTTTGAGGTTGCTGTGAGCTAGGCTAATGCCATGGCACTCTAGTGTGGGCAACAGAGTAAGACTCTGTTGAAAAAATAAATAAAAGTGACCAGAGAATCACTTGAACCCAGGATTTTGAGGTTGCTATGAGGTATAACACCTTGGCACTCTACCCAGGGTGACAGAGAGACTCTGTCTCAAAAAATATTTTTTTTTTAGCTCAGCACCCATAGTACAGTGGTTATGGTGCCAGCCACATACACCAAGGATGGCAAGTTAGAACCCAGCCTGGGTTCTAAACAACAGTGACAACCACAACAAAAAATAGCCAGTATTGTGGCAGGTGCCTGTAGTCCCAGCTACGTGGGAGGCTGAGGCAAGAGAATCACTTAAGCCCAAGAGTTTGAGGTTGCTGTGAGCTGTGACACCACAGTACTCTACCAAGGGCAACATAGTGAGACTCTGTCTCAAAAAAATATATACACACACACACGCACACATATATAAATATATATATATATTTTTTTTTTTTTTTAACCAGCATGCAGGCTTCCCACCCCAAGAGTGGTGTTTGCACAGGAACAGGGCATGCGTGGAGTGAGGTTTGGTCCTGGCCATTTAATTAATTTGGGGGGAAATTACACATGCAGGCTTCCACGTTGCACTGAGAACACCCTCTAAATTCCAAAGCTCAAAAGGAGCAGGCACGGAACACAGCACTAACACACCCCGAACTGCATGTCCCCTCTGAGCTCGGCCAGACAGGTGACATGTTCCTGGCACCCCTCATGCCCCACCTTTCTTAGAATATGCCTAATGACACTTCAAAACTCCACCCTCTGAGCCTAACAGGAGGGTCCCAGGTGGTGTTCCTGAGCTTGTCTTGAGCTCCCCATGCTCTTTGCCTCAAGCTTTCTGATAACAAGTGACTGGTGTGGGGTGGTGGCTGATTGGGTCATGCGCCCCGAGGTGAGGTCACGTCTCTCACCTGCATCTGCCACTTTTTCTCCTTGGCTGCATATGGCTGGAGCCTGCCAGGGTCTCTTCTGAAACTCTGACAGCAGGGGGCCCATGTTGCCAAATGCAAGCAGCGATCAACATAGTCACAGACCACTCATGCCAGAGGACTTAGGCAGACCTGGCACCATGAGTTTCAGTTTCCCCACCTGAGAGCTTGGATCTGGCTCTGCTGAGAGGCCTGGCACAGGCCAGTGGCTGTGCAGGTGGCTCTCTTCCCAAGGCACGAGTCAGAGGCAGGCGTGGGGCTCTCTCTTCTCTTACCTCCACTGCTGGCAGAAGACCCATTTCAGCTGAGCACCTGGCTTCCCTGGGGGAAGGGAATGGACCAAAGCCTCATGCCCCTGGGAGTGCATGCCCCTGTA